CCAGGCCGTAATTCCTTTGTGCTCACAACTCGAGCATTGGATGCTTGTACGAAGAAGACGAGACCTTGGCGTGACCACTGTAGAAAGCTCGGGCACACACGCAAAAAGTGTTGGAAGCTTCATGGCAAGTCGAGTGATTGGAAGCCCTTTAAGCCAGAAAACTCAAACAAGCACCAGGGAAATCACGTGACTGCCGAAGAAATTTCACCTGCTGCTGTAGAGAGCAGTCCCTTTAGTCCTGAATAGTTGGAAGCTCTCCAGCGCATGCTGTCCAAGAAAAGTTACCCGGTCAGTTCTTCAGTGGCACACAAAGGTAATAATTTTGGTTTGTTTGCTTATTCAGAAAAAGGGTAGGTTTGGGTTGTAAACTCAGGAGCATCTGATCATATGACTGGAGATGCCTCAATATTTTAAAAATACAGCAAGTGTAAAGAAGACTTTCAATTAGAATTGCTGATGGGTCCCTCTTAAAAGTGACAGGAACGAGTTTTGTAAATTTGTTTCCAAATTGAACTATTTGCTCAGTCCTTCATGTTCTAAATCTGGATTGTAATTTGTTATCAGTAAGCAAGCTATGTGAAAATTTAAATCGTGCTGCCAAATTTGTCTATAACATGTGTGAATTTCAGGACTTGGACTCGGGGAGGATGATTGACAATGATAGGATGAGCTCAGGACTATACCTACTTCAAATCAATGCTTCTAGAAGACAAACTCACAATGCAGTATGTGCAAACTTTGTTTCTGCAATAATGACCACAATATTATGTTGTGGCACTATAGACTAAGACATCTAAATTTCATGTATCTAAAAAAGTTTTTCTCCTTACTTTTCAAAGAAAAAGATTCCATTTCATTTCAGTGTGAAGTATGTCAATTTTCTAAGAATGTTCGAAGTTCATTTCCTAGTTTGCCATATAAATCCTCAAAACCATTTGCATTAATTCATAGCGATCTATGGGGACCCTCCAGGGTCACCAACATCACCGGAATTAGGTGGTTTGTATCATTTATTAATGATCATACAAGAATTACCTGAGTGTTTCTTATAAAAGAAAAATATGAAGTTGGACATCTCTTTAGAAAATTCCATATAATGATCCAAACACAATTCCATGCTACCATACAAGTATTGAAATCCGACAATGCTTGTGAATACTTTGAAGCCATCGTTGAGAAATATTTTACTGAATATGGTATTATTTACTAAATCTCGTGTACATACCCCACAACAAAACGGCATAGTCGAGAGGAAAAATAGACACATTTTTGAGGTGGTTAGATCAATCATGTTCACCACTCATGTACCAAAATTTCTTTGGGGAGAGGTTGTTCTCACTGCTACTTACTTGATAAACCGGATGCCCCCCCGTGTCCTAAAGTTCCAATCACCTTACGCTATTCTTTTATAAACATTTTCTGAATCTCATATCTTAAACACATTACCACTCAAAATCTTTAGTTGTTCAACATATGTTCATATTCACACTCATCTCCGTGGGAAACTTGACCCAAGGGCCCTTAAATGCATCTTTGTTGGGTACTCTGCTAATTAGAAAGGATACAAATGTCTAGTTCTGGAAACCCATCAATTTTATAACACAATGGATGTCACATTTTTTGAAAACCAACCATTTTACCCAATACATTTAATCAGAAATATCAGTTGTGGGATGTAAGCATACCTCATCTATATCCACAGAGTCACCCTCCATTAGAAAAACCTCTATGGAGTCTGAATCTACAACCTCACATAAACATAAAGAATCTGAACCAAAACCAGTTACAGAGAACACAGTACCTGCAACTAGTGAGTTACGTGTCTATACTAGAAGAAATAAAGGGAAAGCACCTGAATAATCCAAGCCTTGCCATGAATCCATCGTTGATCCTAGTTCCATGAAATTGACAGGTAATGAGACTTCTATTACTCCTACAGATACTGACATTGACATGCCTATTGCTTTGAGAAAATGGACTCGGACATGCACCAAACATTCTATATAGGACTATATTTAATAGACAAGTTGTCTTCGGAACATCATACTTTTGTGTACAGGTTAGACAGTAGCTCATCAGAGCCTAAAACAATCCATGAAGCTCTGAAAATACCTGAATGGAGGATGGTTGTTCAAGAGGAAATCAAGACACTTGAAAAGAACGGAACATGAGAATTAATTGACCTACCTCCAGGGAAACACCGAGTGGGGTGCAAGTGGGTTTTCACAACTAATACAATGCAGATGAAATTTTGAATCGGTATAAGGTTCGACTAGTAACCAAAGGCTACACTCAGTCATATGGGATAGATTATCAAGAGATGTTTGTTCCGGTAGCCAAACACAATACAATTTGGGTACTTCTCTCACTCGTCTCTAATCTTGATTAGCCATTTTGTCAGCTAGATGTGAAGAACGCATTTCTTAATGCTGATTTAGAGGAAGAAATGTATATGGAAATACCATCAGGATTTGAACTAGCAGATAGTCCTTAAAAAGTATACAAGTTGAAAAAGTCACTTTATGGTCTAAAACAATCTCCAAGGGCATGGTTTGATAGATTCACAAGAGCAGTAAGACAGAAAGGATATGAGCAATGTCAGTTTGATCATGCAGTATTTGTCAAGCATTGTACCTCAAGTAAGAAAGCTATCTTGATTATATGTGTATATGATATCATCTTTACAGGAGATCATATTGAGGAGATTCAGAAGCTCAAAGAATTCTTAGTCAAAAAATTTGAAATTAAAGATCTCAGAATACTAAAGTACTTCCTCGGAATGGAGGTGGATAGATCCAAGAAGGGAATTTCGGTATCTCAACGAAAGTATGTTCTAGATCTTCTGAAGGAGACTGAGATACTAGGAAGTAAGCCTGCTGACACTCCTATGGATCCAACCATCAAACTTGGATCCGAAATCAGTAATAAAACAGTTGACAGAGAAAGGTATCAAAGACTAGTTGGGAAGTTCATCTACTTAGCATATACAAGACCCGACATCAATTTTGCAGTAAGTACAGTGAGTCAATTCATAAATCATCCAACTGAAGAACACATGAAAGCAGCATATCAAATTTTAAGATACCTAAAGATGACTCCAGGACAAGGATTGTTCTTTCAACAAACAGTGAAAAGAGTTGTTGAAATCTACACTGATGTAGATTGGGTAAGCTAAATAAACGACAGACGGTCTACATTAGGGTATTGTACCTATGTTTGGGGAAACCTGGTCACCTAACGCAATAAGAAACAGTCAGTTGTATATCGTAGCAGTGCAGAATCTGAGTTTAGGGCACTTGCTCATGGTATATATGAAGGTATGTGGCTAAGAAGGATACTTGTCGAACTAAAGGTTGCTAACAACATTCCTATGAAAGTTTGGTGTGGTAATCAATCAACCATCAGTATGAGCAAAAATCCTGTACACCATGACAGAACCAAGCATGTGGAGATTGATCGTCACTTTATCAAAGAGAAGTTAGAAGATGGTACTATAACACTCATGCACATTTCAACCAGTCAACAGATTGCAGACATCCTAACAAAGGCTCTACCAAAAAGGGAACATAACATCCAATCTAGGTTTACTCAACATATACGTAAACTAAATTGAGGGAGAGTGTAGAAAATAAAAGAATCAATTCAGTTTTATTTTTGTTGTTATTAGCCTAGGGGAGGTAAGCACAAAGTTAGTGAGGTATAACAGATTTTGTTATTCTTCGTTCTCTTAAAAAAGTTGTTAGAATTTTGTTAGGTTTTGTTAGAATTTGGTTGTATGTTTCCTATAAATTGACACCTTATGGTGATGAAAAATAATAAGTAAAAGTAGAATTTTCATTCTCTAAATCTTCACGAGTGTTACTCAAAAGGAGATTGCTAGTCTCACATAATCCAATGAAACAGTATGTTGACCTCCTCAGAACTAATAGACAACTTGAAGAAGGAGACCTGGTTTTTCTTAAGCTTCATCCTCACAGGCACCAATCTTTGACAAGAGAAAGAAGCCTCAAACCGTCCCCCCAATTTTGTGGGCCCTATGAAGTGTTACAGAAGGTCAGTCCTGTAGCTTATCACCTCTAGCTTCCAGACCATGTAAGGGTACACCCTCTTTTGTATGTATCACTACTTAAAAAGTATATATTCGGAAGGCAGAAGTACTTTGCAGAGTTTCCAAAAATGGTTTCCAAAGGCAATGTCAAAGTTGAGCCTGCTTATATTTTGCAGAAGAGGATATTAACCAGAAAGGGAAAACAGGTAGAGCAGTTTATGGTATAGTGGGAAGGTTTGGACACTGAAGAAAATATTTGGGAGGATGCCAAGTACTTGAGACAGCAGTTCCCCCCCATAAACCTTGAGGATAAGGTTTTTTTCTCCAGGAGAAGGAATTGTCACAACCCAAGAATACAAGGGAAAAGATGAGAATGGTAGTAGGGGATCCAAGCCCTTATTGGTTTATAAGCGTCAAGCCAAGGAAATGTGATGAGTCTCGGAGTTCAGGTTTGACAAAGGATGAATGAAATAAATGATTACCAGCATTAGAAATTAGTATTTCTTCAGATTCCCATTCTGGTATGGTTGTTTTGTTGCAATTTGATAGGCTTTATCTTAGTTTTTCTGATGGAAATATATAAAGAAAATTGTAGCCTGATCTTCAGGTATGATGATATTACCAAAATCAAATCTAACCTGATTCAGCAATTCCTTGTGAATTTGCAGGATTTCTCCACCTTATTCTTTTTTCCTCTCTATATCTCTTCTTCTCTCTATTCTCTTATTCCCTCTGTCTATTCTCTTCTAGTTCTGTATTCTCTGTTACTGGTTGCATTGCTGGAGTATATGTCAAGTGATTTATCAAAGTTATAATCCTCTAAGATCTCTTGTTAGGATCCCTGTAGGTGCTGCTTAGTTGTATTTTCAGTTTTGTTTAGTGATTTTTTTTTAATTTAAGGCATGAGCTCATATTCAGATACTAGGTTCAATTGTCTGACCCAAGCACCTCATGAGTTGAGACTTTCATGCATTTGTACATTTGATTTATCAAAGTTTTCTTATAATATTGACTGAAATTAGAGATTATTGATCGAGAAGATTCTTGAATATAATAGATCTTTTGGATACTGTCTCTTGGAGATCTGTAAATATTTTTGTAATTGGATGGCGTCCATTTGGTGCCTTTTCAATTAATAATTTTTTCCTTAAGAAAAGTTTTCTTATAATGATTCATTTAGTAGAGTTAAGTTTTGAATGGTAAACGTTTAGTTACTGGAGATATAAGCATTATTCTCTTCTACTTGCTCCATCTACAATTTTGGAATTCTGGATCCTTGAAGAAATGCAGCTAAAACACTAGAATCTTTTTGCTGGAAACCAACCTAAACTGTCTGATGATGCTGACTGATTCATGCAGCTCTATGCATGGTGCGCCCAGGCAGCTGCCTCCGTGACTGCACATTCCCGCAAAGAAGACAGATTAGGAGTTGCACAACTCTCTGGAAGCAATGCTGCTATTATCTCAACACTTCTCTCTTGCCTGCTTGCTGTTGAAGCATTCATGGGAAAGAAGACAAACTTGCAACCGTCTCATCATTTCATGGGGCCTGCCGGTATTAAATGGGCTACGTTAAGTGGGGGAAGAAGAGAGATCAAAACTCTTAAAAAGAGAGGTGGATCTCAATATTCAAAAGCATATGCCATTGCGGATGTTCTAAGAACCTCAGTATACTGTGTTGTGTGTGCTTTCCATGATGAGATGATGACAAGTGCAAAAGGAGGCTCGCTAGACAAAGATTGGGTTATTAACACAAAACCTCTTTTTGGAACACATGAACTGCTGGCACAGAAACTGCGACTTTTTCTCGATTTTCAGGCAACTTAAATTTGAAGCTCTCGCAGCCAGGCTGCTTTCTTTCTTCAAAAAAGAAAATTGCTTATTTGTTTGGAGGGTACCCTGTAAAAAGAGATGGCAATTTTGTTAACCAGGAACCGGGAGGAGAAGATGAAGCATGACTTTTTTTCGGCTTGAAGGAGAATCGAGATCCTATGATGTTATTTAGCATTG